AATAGCATGGGAGGAGATTACCTAGCCTTCTCCCGTCGAGCAGATGGTGGCCTCAAACTGCGTGCGTTTGGGACTGTAGCACAGCTTCTTGCCACTAGGCCACTGGAGCTCGTGTGGGTATATCTGTATCTGTGTCTCACATAAGCAGAAGATCTTTGAAAATAGGTTTATTCGTATAACGAATATTTTAATGATTTCTGGATGGCAGGAGTGATTTCCAAGTGATGATTCCTCAGTGAATAAAACTAGTAACTGCTTTTCTTGCTCTTATGGCAGCTTCCAGACTGTCTATATAAACTTTGTGTTCCACAGGAAAAAGAAAACTAGAGCAGAGTAACAGGGATTGATCGTTCTTGGGGCCGGATGGCAATTTTCAGTGGTAAAGTGGACTGATTGGCAGGGTATATAGGTCTTTGTTCTGATTTAATGACCTAAGAAAATTCAAAATGGACTGCAGCATACTATGTTTTTTCCCCTTGTAAAGGCTGAGTTGTTGTTGATTGCCTTCGAGTTGAGCATGACTCCTAGCTAGCGACCCTATGAACAAAAGGCCTGAAGCCCCTCTTCCAAAAAGTCGCAGTAACACTGTATTTATTAATTAGTTTCCAAACTTAGAAATTGAATAAATGATGCTGTGTTTCATGCTGAATATTTTAATGGTGACACTAGAAGGTTAAAAAAAAGCAATAGTAGTACTCCCTCATCTACTTTATGTTTAGGAAAATTTTGTTATTTACAAGGGTTTTAAATAAGAACCTTTAGACACAGTACAGGCTGCATTTGAGTTATTAGGTTAATAGTAGTTTTAAAAGAAATTTAGAGTGACATACAAACAATGTAATGCTTTTCTGTTTAGCAAATGTCTTTGTAGAGTTATTCCTCTTTTGGAATAGAACACTTCTGAAACGACTTGAATGCTTTTCTTTCCTGCAGATGATGAACTTCAGTAGGGCAAGGTGCATGTTTATTCTAGTCACTTACTAACTCCATCCACTTCATAGACAATAAGAACACATTTATTGGTTTTGACTTAAGTAGAGTATAATAAAACTTAGTGATGGTGAGCAGCTTAGTAAACCTATTCTTTTTCTTTAAGGAAAGAATCAGAGTATACATGAACAAAGTCAAAGAAATAACAGACAAGAAAAAAGCCGCCAAGCTGGACAGAGGGGCAGCCTCAAGATTTGTGAAGAACGCCCTTTGGGAACCCAAACAGAAAAGTGCATCAAATGCTACCAATAAAAGAAAAAGTAAAAATTAACGTCTTTATTTTAGTGCACAAGTGTGCGATTATGACTGTTTTCCACAAAGTAGATGTCTCTGACACGGCAAGGTTTAAATTGTTTTTCTTACAAATTCATATATAAAATTTATACTTGAAATTATAATGCTAAATACTTTTTTCTCCTAGAAAGATTAAGTTGTCTTTATAGATTTCCTGTAGAGTGAGCTGTGAGGTTTTTAATACTGTGCTACATATTTTACTGTCTCTTGACAGAATCCTTAATCCTTTATATAGATCCTTCTTTTGAGTACTATTTTATAAGCAGTTGTGGAATTTAAGTTAAATGTTCTTTGTAAATGTTTGTGGTATTTGAAATATATCTTATAAAATATGTTACATGATGACCATTTTCACTATTTGGTATCCTTAAATGTTTCACTAAATGTTTGTTTCCATTATCCATAACTGGTTCTATTCCTAAATCTGATTTATATTGAATTTGAATGCAAATTAAACAAGTGTGATTTGTATCTAGTGTCAGTTAATGAAATGTCTTGGTATACTAAAACATCTTTAGCATAATAGGGTAATAAGGTTTTGATGCCCACCACAAAGCTGTACCTATATGTAATTACAGATCAAAGTATGGACTTCTACTTTTTAATAGAACTATCTTTATGGCAATTGGTTTGTAATTATGAATTATACTGAAGTTGGATGTGAATAACTTGGGGACTTCCTGTATATAATAATCCATTTCCACTGTATAATAAAAACTGGAATGATTTAAGAGTACATTTTTTCTTGTGTAGTTTCTTTGTCATGTTTTCATGATTTTGGGAATTACTGCTTCTTAAAAATATTGAAGGTGTGAATTTAGAACTTGAAGGTTACACATAAGCTCTTGGCACTTTGCCTCTACATCCCATTTAAAAGAAAATACATTGTCATTCGATAGGAAATGAAGTTGCATATTGATGGCTGAATTTTGGCATAAGGGCTATAATCTACTGACGAAGGTTGTAAAAATTATGTGACAACCTGTTTATTTTTCTCTTTTAGGTAAATTTACCTTCTAGAGTAGGAAGGTAGGTTTTATAAATCATCATGAGTAGAGAAATGATCTTTGTTATTGATTCAGAAAACTCATAGTTCTTCTGTTTTCATTTTTTACTATCTTTTTATGCAGATCACATGCACCTTCTACATATGTTTGCTAATTACTCCTTCCCTCGGGGAGGTATTTTTCTAAGTGCTAGTGTGCCAGCTTTTCCTTTTATATGTTGCTTTAAAACATTAGCACAGCATTTTTACAAATAAGCTTCCTAAAACAAAGGAGCAGTTAGCAAACAAAGTAGAAGAAAGTTGTTATTTGTATAAAGTATGGATTATACTTTTGAGGCTACATCAAATACATACAAGTATTTTGGAACTGTTTTCTATGCTGTATAATTCTGTTTCAACAGAAAAAGTCCAAAGATTACATTGTGTGTATTCGTATTGAATTTTTCTGGGATATTGATGAAAACAATTCTACATATGAAACGTAAAAACAATAATTAAGCCCATGAATTTTAATTACATGACTTTAATTCTTTCAGTCTTTGAATCCATATCATTATGTATAGGAATGCCAAGTACAGTAATTTTTGAAAAAGGAGTTAAAATTTTCTGTGTGATTAATTCTCTGTAAGTAACCTTGAATAAATGAGCTGCTTGATTTATGGTAGCAGATATTAGAAATGGTCTTAAAATTTAATGGATTTTGTAAAGCATGTTGAACTCTCTCTCTGTGATACGTGAAGAAGTCACTGACAGAGCCTCAAACTGGCTCTGATGGCACACAGTGTTTGAAATACAGTAACATTTAGAGTTATTTCATTTTTTTTCCTTCTATCTGTTCAAATTTCTAGCTCTTTAAAGTCATTTCTTGATGAGAGAAAGAAATATTAAGATCCTGTGCCATGTACACATTTTGTATTATTATTGCAGAGAAGCTTGCAATTTGCATTTTTATATATTTTCTCATTTAATAAAGAAAATGTCATCCAGTTGTAGAATTCATAAAAATCCAGCTCTGCATTTTGTTAAATTGGAGACTGTTGAATGAACAATTCCTTCAGTGTTTTTTTATTAGAAATAAAAAATATTCTCATACATTCCAATTTTTAATGTATGATTTTAAATACTTATTACAAAGCAAATAATAAGGAGCTGACTGGTAATAATGCATAGAGTTACTTGTTTGTTTATTCACTTTACAGGTGTTTAATGAGATTTATGTTGCTAGAAACAAAGCTAGGAATTCAGTTTCCAATAAGACACCTCTACGTTTAATCTGCTTTTATAAAGAAAGTTATGAGAAAGGGAATTTTCATTAGATTCTGTTTTTCACATTTTCTTTTTTCAAATTAATAACAAATTGTGCTCATTAGCCTTTGTCAGAGCCATAAAAGGTTTATCTATTTGACTATAGTTAAGTTACTGCTCTGGTGGCCTACTGGATAGGAGGTTGTACTGTTAACCTAAAGATGGGCAGTCTCCTCCCTGGAGATTTTACAGCCTCAAAACCTGCTGGAGGGTCAGCTGTGCTTGATGACAGCAAGTGATGAGTGACAGTTACTGTTAACATCATTTGTCCTAAAGACTCTTAATTTAGACATTAATTACAACTTTTATTAATCTCTTTGGGAATTAACAAACTGGAGATGTGGTAGCTCTAGCATTTTATTAGAATTGTGTATTTCTGATCTAATTCTAACTGAGGTTTTTGTCTCAGTATTTGAAATACAATTTTCTTGTCATAGGAAATTTGTTTTAAATATGCCAAGAGAAAAATTGAAGCTTGGATTATGGTTTACTGGAATTGGAAGGCTGTATCAAAATGATTCATTTTTAAAATAGCCAACAGATTTAAAAACTTAGATATTGGGAAAGAACTGGTATGATTTAGAAATAAAACTTTAAAAGTGATTAGAATTGTAAGAAAGCTTGAAAAATGGACCACATATTGAAAAGATACATAAAGATTTCCTTTTCTTGCGTAGGCCATTGAGGAAAATGTGCTTCAGAAGTCAGTTTGTTAAAAAAAAAGAGAAAAAAGAAGTCAGTTTGTGAGATAGTTTAATAATTTTATGTAATAAGTGGGATCCACTTCCTAAACAACATGCCTCCGTAAACTATGAACTTTGATAAATGTCGATAGTTACAGAAAGGCTTCAGCCCTTTTGTTCATAGAGTCACTATGAGTTGTGCTCGACTCGACGACAATCAACACCAATAAATTATTAGAAATTCTGGCTTTACAAAATGACTTTAGCTGCGAGGTTTGAGCAGTGTCTGAGCTTCATGCAGTGACGAGTGTGTAAAGAAGATGAAGGAATGCTGCCGTGTTTTCTCCCTTTGTTATTCACACAGCACATTTCAGATAAACCCAGTGCAGCTTTTACATAACAGCTTTGGAAGCAGCATATTCTGTATAAAGAATTGTGCACCACATGTACACTGCTAATAAAAACATGCTTTGGTTATTTTTGCTGTGCAGGTTAGCTTTCCTATCAGTGAGCACCCTGCCAGTGAGCTACCGCTCTTTGAAGCAGCCACTCTGTCTGACTTGATGTGCGGGCTTTTTAAATTTTTCTTTAATATGGCATACTTTTTAGTATAGCCAGGGAAATTAGTAGACCATCCAGATAAGAAATATCTCGAGTGGTATCTTCTGGTAGGTGAAATTTAATTTTCCCCCTTTCTCTTAGAAAATGCTCAAGATAAAGCAACCTGTTTGGGTTTTAATCATCTGTTCATAAAAGATTGGAAGAAAAGCTACTTTTCCCCCCCTCTTTTTTCCTATAAACCTTGAAGTTTAGCAAATGTATCACTGGAGAGTAACTGCAAGATAACAATTTTGCAAAAGTGATATATTTCAGATGATATACAAAATTTGATGGTGGGAAAAATAAGCTTTCTAAATGGAATGTTTAAGAGATTCCTTTTTACTATTTGCTTTACAGTTTAGTATTACCTTTGAGGTGCACCGCTTCAGTTTGGCAGCTACAATAAATGACTGAGGGGAGTTGAAGGTGAGAATTCAACATTTCAAGATGTTTCTGCTGAAATGAATTCAAAGTTTATAATAATACAGTGTTTTAAAGCCAAATGCCCAGGAAATTCAGTCATATGATTTGAACAAGATGATAAGGAGAAGTAGAAGATAATGTCTTCATTTCCTTGTTACGTGGCTATTGAGAGGTTATGTTAAAAAATGTAAAAAGAATAAAGACTTGTTTATAAAATTTGCTAGTGTACAACTTTTCTTGGACCTTTGTAACAAGCGGTCACTGGTTAGTGCTGATGCCGAAACTAGAGAGCATGCTATCACGTATCTGATTGGTATTATTTCCTCTGATGACCTTTGATCTTATAAAATGCGATTTTTGAAATAGTTTGCTACCCTGTTTCCCATACTCTTTGTTATTTTTTTTCCCCTTAAAGAAATAATGACTTAAAAGTACACGTGGTAGTTAATAGTGGCACAGTGGTTAAAACACTTGACTGTTCCCCACAAGGTTGGCAGTTCATATTCACTAGCTTGCTCCCATTTAAAAAGGTGTGACAGTTTGCTTCTGTAAAAATATTACAGCCTTGGAAACTCTCCGTCCAGTGGGGTTGCTATGAGTCAGAAAAAAAAACACCCTGGAAGTATTTCAGATTGTAGTTGCTGACATTCGTGGGTTTTGATATTGATGAATTTTTAAATTTTTTTTATATTGATGAATTTTAACATTTGTGATTTTCACGATTTGTGAGTGATGTTAGGAGTTCATGGGGCATGGAATATTTTGTAATTTTGCCAAAGCACTGTCTTAATTCTGGCTACATTCTGTGCAAGAAGGCCTTATTAAATGATTTTGTTTAGCTAATCTTTAAAATCTGCAGTTTCCTCCACTTGCAGTCTCATGTATTCATTCATTCACTCAGTCAACGACTACTTTTTGAATTCCTACTGTGTGCCTGATTCTGTTAGAGACCCTGAAAATTCATCAGTTACCCAGATTCA